CGGCTATCCTCAGATAGGTTCCGGCCCGGGCCATAGGTTCCTTTACGTGTTTCTACAAAGGATATTGCGGGGTATAGGGGCCTTAGTATGAAGGAATTCGGCTTGTTTTTCCTTGTCGTCGTACATAGCGTAATGGCAGGGTTGCTGCACATGGCGTCCACCGCCGGCCACAACACAAGCCCTGCACCCCAGAATTAAAGCCTTGAGTCCACAGCTTACAAATTGGAATCGGATTTTGGGTACCCAGAGACTCCAACAACCCTGAATCAAGGAATATGCCTTGATAATAAATAGTCGTGACCCTAGCAGAGTTATAATTTCTATTCCTTAATTCAGGGGTTTCTGAATCTCAGGGTATATGCAACATTATCTGCGCATGCTGAGGTCTGCGTTTGCCTGGGCCCTTGGGCTGCTTTGGCCCAAGACTGGTTCCTTGGACCGAAATCCGAGGAAAGGGGTTTCGGGTTGAGGAAGTTCAGGGTTTAGGGTTTAGGGATAAAAGTTTAGGGTTTCGGGTTGGAAGTTTAGGGTTTAGGGTTATGTAAACTGTAAAGGGATTTCTTCGGCTTCTAAGCCCTACATCCCTAGATATCGTAGTTTGCGCGATGGACCGAAGTTCGAGTTTTTCGAGTGAAATTCCTGGGACGAAGTTCAAATTCTACGGATTGTTCTAAGTTTTCTTCTTGAATGAGCAAACCGTAGTTTGTGAATAGCGGGTTTGGCGACGGGTCGGGGTTGAGGGATTTTGGGGTTTGGGGACGGGTCGGGGTTGAGGGATTTTGGCAGCAGCTTCAGCTCAGCTTTGCATTGACACCCCCCCCCTCCCCCCCCCTCCCCCCCCCCGTAACAACAGCAACAAAAACACCCCCCCGCAGCAACAACACAAAAATAACACCCCAGCAGCAACACCAAAAAAGCAGCAACAGCAACAAACAAACATTCTTACCATTGAGGAAGCATCTCTACGTAAACACTAAACCCTAAGTGTTGTGTTAGATGGCCCGGGCTTGAGTTCAGCGGCTCCTCCCCCTAAGCCCAGGGTTGGAGGGTCGGAGTAATGGCTCACAGTCGTCACATATAATATATCCCCTGTATAACCTTAATATTATGCCTCAGTAGCATACAGACCTTGTTTTTTTTGTAGTAGCTGATCATCCCTGCGGTATACCTGAGAACCCTATTCTAAGTAGTTAGGCCTTCGTAGTACGCTCTGAAGCCACTCAGGTGCTGCGGAAAACGAGGGATCCAGATAACGACGCGACAAGTCGGATCTTTGCTCTACTCTACGCTGCTAGGGGTTCATGCAGGGTTTAGTTTAGGGTTGAGCCTACTTCCAAGAAACCAAGAAAGCCCTCTAAAATTCTGCACAGATATCCCTACATAGCCCTATGAAACAGTCTTCTAAACCCCTGTAAAGCCCTTGCGTGGAAAGGGCTGGTACAAACCCCAAGGTCCTCCCTCCCCCAGGTTTGGAGAACACAAATCGCGTTGGTTCGAAAACCGCTTCGGCCGATGCTTCAGGTTTGGAATGCCTGTGCCGATGACCGGCGTGAAAAGCAGCAGCATCGTCTTCAAGAGCCTTGTTCGGCAATGTGGTGTTGAGATCTGAATATCCTCATGGTTCTTGTACAGGGTCTCATACTGGTTGAACTCCTACATGATGCTGAGGTCTGAATAATCCATATCCGGGTACTACTAGGGTTCGAAGAAGGGTCTTTATTATGATGTTTTTATAATCAATGCTAGGGCATACTACTAGGGTCTTTGTCTTTGTGTGTGTGTGTGTAATGCATATACGTAAATGTAAGCAAACCAAGGCATGAATAAGCACATGCGCACACCGGTTTATATATATATATATATATGTTCCTGCATCTATGTATGCGTACATAGACGCCTTCGTATTCCTAAGAGTTTCATGACAGCTGCAAGGACGAAAGAAATACGGGGTCTCCAGGAGCGATGAGCCCGTGGAGCCCTTCGCAATCTTCTGCGGCGATGCTTGAAGAAATGTGAGGTCTTCGGGATGTTTTGGGTTTCGGGCTTGAGGTTCGGGGTTAGTCAGGGCTTAGGGTTTAGATTTGGGGGTTTGGGCTTAGGGTTCGGCTTTCCCTCCTTGGGCTTGCAGGTGGGATCTGCTGTCGCATTGGTTCTAGATTAGCACGCCGCCCAAGGTACATGGGTATTTCTCTAAAGCAGGGCCCCGTTTTTTAAGTCCCAAGTATAGTACGGCACCCTGAAAATCAAAAGGACCCCCACCCACATACTTCCAGAGTCGCAGGCCCAATGCGGAACAGGCCCTGACCTGCTCACGAAGTTTGCTCTAACTAGCGAGCTTGGTCATGCCGACACTGAAGAGTCCGCAGGGTGCACTCCAAGCCTCATGGATAGGATACCTGTAATGAGCCCTATCTGCAGTCCAGAGCTTCAACCCTTGATGCTCCAAGCCCTGAGCTCTAGAACCTAAACCTCAAAAAATACTGAATCGTAGAGATGCAAGTTGCAAGTGATGTTTCAGACGTGTCCGGTTCTTGCCGGCATGGCTCGTGAAGTGCACTGTGTTTGCTGTGCACTAGGGCTTGCCTACCAGAGCTCCCTTGTTCGGATAGTTTCTGAAGTATGCCTGGTTACCAGTCTCTCCTCATCTTCGGGCTGAAAGCAGCAACAATAGCAACAGCAACAAGAACAACAAGCACAGCAAAAAAAAAGGCAGGAGCACGCACACACACACACAGACGCACACACACACACAAAAACACACACACAAACACAGACACAAACACAAACACACACACACACACACACCCGCGCGCGCGCGCAGACAGAGTAATGAGTACCCATAGGCCCCTAAGTAGTTCCTTTTTATGGTTTATATTTAGAATCCAATGACGTAATCCCAAAAAGGAGCTACTTAGGGGCCTATGGGTATCAAAAAAGTAGCCCAAAGCGATCACCGAGCATTCTGAGGAAGACTCCCGATTCGGCACGCACCTGGAGATCTACCCAAGGAACAGCGGCGAGGCGGGTTTAGGGTTTAGGGTTTAGGGGGAATCGCAGCTCTTAACGGTTTTAGGGCTTGGGGTTTTGGAGGTATCAGGGAACCATGGGCCAACGAAAACGCTACACCCTAGATCGTAAGCGGCCTTATAGAAGCCCAACACCCTCCTAGTTCAGGAGTGAGGTCCCGGGGATTTCTACAAGCTTGGATTTTGGTCTGAGGTGCCCTACAAGTGCATAGGGTTTAAGGTTGAGGGTTTAAGGTTTAAGGTTGGGTGCCTCCAGGCTTTCGGCTTGTGATTTCGGTTTTGGGGTCTGGGGTGGGCTTGGAAAAGTCTTGAAGCCGAGCGAGCGGAGCTCGGCGCTGCGACATTCAACTTTGCATGGGGAGTTTTGGTCCAGCAGAGCATGCAGAGCACTAGTTTGCTTTAGGGATATGCTCCCTAAGCCTTAAAGCCTAAACCCTTAAACCCCCAACCCCAAAGCCCTAAACCCTAAACATCCCCAGACTAAAACCCTGCATCAAGGTGTACATTTGCGGCATTGGTGGCTCGGAGCACCTTGGAGCCTGCATCCCCCTGTAGCCCTAAACCTTAAGCCCCTAAACCTTCAACAAAAAAAGCACCTGTACCCCAAGCCCTAAAGCCCTTCAACCCTACACCGTAGCTAGTTTTATTGGTGTTGAAAGTCTGAGACCCTCGAGGCCAACCCCGAAGTAACTCTCTCCCTGTATGTCTCTCTCTCTCTCTATCTCTCTATCTCTCTCTCTCTCTCTCTCTTTCTCTCTCTCTCTCTCTCTCTCCCTCTATCTATCTATCTATCTATCTATCTATTTTAGATTACAGGTACATCTATCTGTGCATAGACATATATGTATATATATATATAATATATAGAAATTTTATTTATTTATTTATCTATTTAGTTATTTATTTCTATATTCATTCATTTATTTATTCATTTCGTTATCTACTTGTTTATGTATGTATTTACATATATATATATATATATTTATTATATATATATATTTATTTATTTTAATTCTTTACATACACGTATGAAGCGACTGTACAGTTCGGCAAGGCTCGAAGATTAGCAGCGCTGGGTTCAGGGTTTGTGGTTTCGGGCTTAAGGTTTAGTGCTTGCTGGTCCAGGGATCTGAAGAATCTGAAGCCTCATCGGGCTCGGTGCTGAAGTGTCCCCTGAACCCGAAGATATTTTTAGACGGGTTTAGGGTTTAGGGTTTAGGGATATTCAAGATGCTTCTAGGTGCCGAATGGAAGTTCTTCGTCATGGCAAACCGCACGAGTCGTGCGTGCTTGACCATGCGTTAAGGCACTTATTTCAGCAGGACAGTGTGTTACTCGTAGCATGTTCGAGCCAGCTCCGTAGAAAGGGGCCAAGCAAGCCCCTTAAATGAGTCTTGGCCACAGAGCTATTCTGTCCAAATGCCAAACCGTGGAATCTCTCCTTATGCGATCTGTTGCTGGGCAAAGCCCGATTTTGCAGAGGGTGCAAGTGCTTGCAAAGGTCGGAAGGTACTTTGGGGCTGGTGTTTGAAACGCCCTGATATCACCAAAGACACTCTGAAGAGTTGACGAAGAGCCTGGCGAACATAGTTTAAGCCCTAAGCCCTAAATCCCTAAAGCCTAACATGAAAGCAGGGTTCAAGGTTCCCTGCAAGGTATCTCGTTTTGCGGACGGTTCCGGTTTGGCTCGATATGGGCGATATGATGATGGTTTAGGGTTTACGGTGGATGCCATGAATTGTGTTTCACGTAGCAGGGACGTCGGCTTTGTACTTATCTGCATTCCGCTTGATGCTTTTCAGATCCAATTGTTTTGAAATCAGGCCAGGCCGAGCGTGGTCGATAATAAGTGAACAATCTTCTGTTCCTTATGGCCAGCGACAATATCACGCAACATCTGTACCTAGTCGTTTGAAGCATGATGTGGAATTTGTTTGGTATTTGCTCTTCAGGCCTTGACGGATTGAGCGAAGGATGGCAATGACGTCGGCCCCTCGCGTCGCATCGCTTCTGCCAAGCGCAACAGAGATCATGGGACACCTCAAGTTGCAGCACTTGCTGGTCGGTGTAAGTCACGAGTGTGACGTGGCACCCGAAAAGGAGGACATGGATGCGCTGATATCGAGTGGGAAGTGCGTCTGCCTCACAACCTCGGAGATTAACCCCATGGTCATGTCGCAAGATGAGATCAACACTGCAGTGATTGGGTCGCTGCGCATGGGTGATTCCTTGTATCTAGGTAGGCCTTTGGGATATTTTATATTTTCCCTTATTAGGCCTAAGAGGACCCTATTTCCTAATATTTTCAGCGGTTTTAAAGGGCCAACCAGGTATGGCATCAACAGCTCAGAGTTCCGCAGAGCCAAGCCGACGGTGGTTCTCACGCAAGCCCCTTAGATCGCCAATGGGAGAGCTTTAAACTGTATAGACTTTTCGGTCTTACACATTTGGGCCAGGGCCATCGTGGACAGTTTGAGCTTTTTGAGGCCCTAAACCTTAAACCATCCTAAACCTAAACCCTAAACCTAAACCCCGAAACCTAAATCCTAAACCCTAAAACCTAAGCCCCTAAACCCCAAAGAACCCTAAACCTAAACCCCTAAACCCCAAAGAACCCTAAACCCTAAACCCCTATAGACCCCAAAGAGAAGAGGCCCTCTGTGATGTCTGCGCGCCCTCCAGTCGCCAAGTTGCCGGAGCCCGGGAGCTCATCGAAGAGGACACAGAGACTCCCAAACCCCTCAATTTAAGGGTTTAGGGTTTTAGGGGTT